CACATCTGGGGATACCCGGGGGCTGTGATACAGCAGAGGGAACACAGGGGTGTCTCAGATCTAGGAGTGCCTGGGGACTGTGATACAGCAGAGGGAGATGGGGTGTCTCAGAGCTGGGGGTTTCCAGGGGCTGTGATACAGCAGAGAATGACAGGGGGTCTCAGATATTGGGGTACCCATGTGCTGTGATGCAGCAGAGGGGACAAAGGGGTGTCTCAGATCTGGGTGTAATGAGAGGCTGTGATGAAGCAGAGGAGACCCAGGGTTGTCTCAGGTTTGTAGGTTCCCATGGGCAGTGATACAGCAGAGGGCAGAGGTGTCTCAGAGCTGGGGGTACCCAGGGGCTGTGATACAAGAGAGGAGACTGTAGCCCAGAGAGGTAACTTAGCTTTTCATTTAATGGTAACTTAAGGACTCCCTAGGCCCGTCGTTTGAGGCTTTATGGTCTAATTTGAGGCCTTGAACCTTAGCATAAGGGGCTCAATTGTGACGCAGAATTTTGGGGTGGTGACAACATTGGGGGGGGCATCTGTACCAAATGATACTGGCCAATCACAGGAACATTGAACTGATACCGCGTTGGGCTATTCTAGGAGAAAAACACCCTGTCTCCTGGGGGTGAACCCTTTTCCCAAAGCGATCACGCCGGAGCCCACCTCTGAGTCCTACCCGGAAACCCGGCCGCCACGTTCATAAGGCGAGGCAGGGAGCATCCGTTCCGAACTTTGCTAGGCCTTTCCTGGACCCGGAGAAGGGCTCTGGGCAGCGCGAAAGCGTGTCTTTCTCCCCGTCAGAAGTTGGTCCGGTGAACGATATGACCAGACCCACCTTGTCTCTCAAATATCCTGGGACCAACATGGCTGCAACAGCCCTGTCTAGTAAAATGTTGCAGTAATAGAATATTACACTGCTATTTGGTACTGTTCTGTGGACAGACTCACACCCTTTCTTGGGGAGCTGGTGGTAGCGAAACAGATGGGCATCCTACTCTGTCCCTGGCACGGCAGACGAGTCTGATGGTCTGGATCTCCCCCTTACATGGCAGTCTGGGCCGGATGGGTGCTGTGGATATTCATACAAATGCCCATCTCTAACTTACTCACCCTAGTGATGTTGGGGAGTGTTCTGCGACAGATTAGTCTATTACCCATCTTCACTTAAGATCATCGGTATCAATTCCTTGCCAAGGCAAGTTTTGGGTGAAGCATCGGATTGCCTGGCTTCACCCACATTGCTGTCACAGGGGTATTTGTTCCACTGGATGGGGGACACCATGTTTTGTGACAGGCGTGTGTAAGACCCTTGGATCTTGAAAAGTGTTGATCACTGTAGTGGTGGAGATATGGCTGCTGGTTTTGCATCTGTTGTTCTGGCCAGGTCTGGTGCTGCTTTGAGTTGGTGGGTCCTGGTCTGTGGGGAGCTTGCTTCTGATGATAAGCTTGGAAAGGTTGGTGGGTTGTTGGAAGGCCAGAAGAGGAGGTTCAGAAAAGATTTCTCTCAGGATGGGGTCCCCATCGAGTATGGGTTGTAGTTGTGGGGCATTAGTTTAATAGGGAGCAGGTTTAAAACAAACAAAAGGAAGTATTTCTTCACCCAACGCACAGTCAACCTGTGGAACTCTTTGCCAGAGGATGTTGTGAAGGCCAAGACTATAAAAGGGTTCAAAAAAGAACTAGATAAATTCATGGAGGATAGGTCCATCAATGGCTATTAGACAGGATGGGCAGGGATGGTGTCCCTAGCCTGTAATTGCCACCTGGCATTGGCTACTGTTGGAAGACAGGATACAAGGCTAGATAGACTTTTGGTCTGACCTAGTCTGGCCGTGCTTATGTTCTTAACTAGGCGTGTGCAGTCATGGGAGGTTTTATTTCTGTATTGAAGGAGGTTCTCTCGGGGTATTTGGCTCATCCGTTCCATGATGCGATCGACTTTTCTGGCGGCGTGTCTTCGTTTGGTGATGGTGGTTTTCAGCGTGTTAAGGTGAATATCCTGGACTTCCTTCTCAGAGTGTATTCTGCGGTATCGGAATGCCTGGCTGTAGATAACAGACCCCTTGGTGTGTTTGGGGTGGTGAGTGGATCTGAGTGGGATGGTAGCTGGGGCGATCCGTGGGTTTCTTGTATATGGTTGTCTGTCGGGTTCCAGAGTTGAAGAGGACTGTGGAGCCCAGGAAGTTGATGCTAGTGTGGCAGGGTTCTAGGGATGGTTGTTGAAGCTGTGGTGGAAATCGACGAGGGAGGTTGGGCCGTCTGCCCACAGGAGGAAAATATCATTGATGTAGCCCAGGTGCATCATTGGTTTTGTGGTGCATTTCTCCAGAAATTCTCCCAGGAGGTGGCCCATGAAGAAGGTCGGCCTGTAGGCGAGCCATCTGAGTGCCCATGGTTTGAACCAAGTGTTTGTTGTCAGATGTACAACTGTCACGGCTGAGGATGAACTGGCTGTGTTTGGCCACGCATCCGGGGCGGCTCTCCGAGGGGCGTCCGTTGTCCCGTAAATCTCTGAGGCGGGCAGTGCTGATGGAGATTCCACAACCTCCCTGGGCAATTGATCCCAGTGCTTAACCACCCTGACAGCTAGGAAGTTTTTCCTAATGTCCAACTTAAACTGCCGTTGCTGCAATTTAAGCCCATTGCTTCTTGTCCTATCCTCAGGGGCAGGGCCGGCTTTAAGCCGATTCGGCCGATTCCCCGGAATGGGGCCCCGCGCCTAAGAGGGCCCCGCAACGTCCGGGGCTGCCGGCGGAGCGGGGAAAAAAAAAAAAAAAAATAACCCCGCGGCCTGC